CCCCCGGTAGATAGACTGATCTCATTGCGATCCTGATTGGGAACGGGAGATTCACATATATAAGACAAACAACAACCGATAAGTTTCGTCTTACTTTCCTCCTTCACATACTGCCGCTCAGTGCGCAGAATGATCCTTCTCTGGTTCTGCGAGTTCGAACTCTATGTCTAAATGAGTTCTCACAGTCGAATCCATTCTAGACTCGTTGCTGTAACGTTTTCTCAAAATTCCTATTCAAAAGCGTCTACAGCTGGCCCCAGGCAAACTTCCTACTTGAGAGCAGCGTGGGAAACCTAATACTCGGGATTACCTTCACAGCGTTATGGATCATGACACACAACTCACCACTTTGTATACCAAAAATGTTGACCCAGAATATATATTTACCGTGATATTCGTGTCAAAAAACTACTTCCTCCGCCGTCAGCCACAACTCCAGCCATGGCTTTTGTCCATGTTGAACAGATGATGATCGGTGAGTTCACATACGTTCCGTGATAATCGAAGAACATAGATGCATCTCATGTTATATCTACTTTCAGTCCTTCAACATTACAATGATTGGCTTTTTCATAAACTGGAACTCAATCCAATGCCTGCCCCCTCCCCGCTCCGTCGAACTTTTATTTCAGCTTGCACGCTCGACTGAAAGCGGAAGACTTTGTGGAGTTGAGCAGACAGCTCTCTCTGGTTGACTACCTGGTTGTTGCATTTACAGTGGCTGTCGGACAGAAACGAAAAAGTATGTCATCTCGATTGATCTTTCAATTTACTCGTGGTTCATTTTCTATTTCTCATGTGCACGCATTCGCATCGCTTTCAACGAACCTGTGTTCAGTCTTGTATTTTTGGAACTCTAAACGCCTGAGCAAAAAAAAATGGCGCTTGGAAATAACTCCATTTGAAGTGCACGCTTTTCATCAGAGTTAGAACATGAGGGAATTTTTCCACTTGGTCTATCCAGTGGGTCTGAAGATGCAGTCCACTCAGCTGCTACTCAATTTTCCCTGAACTAGCCTCCCCAATATAACCGAAACATGCTCCCCGCGAACCGGGTGTGTTAGTTTCCTAGACAGGTTTGACTGCTCTTGTTTCCTTTAAAGCTCTGAAGTATCCTTGGCTTAGATGCAGCTGAACTGAGCGCCAGCGAGTGCGTCTGCACGATGCGGACAGAAGAATAACCATCTAAAGTGGTGTCACACATCGGTGGACCTGGTCTTAGTGAGCAATCGGTCGGGGTATCCTGCTGCACTAAAACTGTGCAAAGGCTTTGACTGATAATTATGAACTACATTTTGGTGTCATTGTTCTTTGCGGTCACCCAAATAGCATTCATCATCGATCTTGTTAAGTCAGCTCACACAGCGCGGCTAAGTAGAGTAAGTGTCTCTCGCCTTCCGGGTTGGGGTCTAAAAGACTCCCTAACCGGATGGTTGAAAACACTGAAGGTCATGGCAGAAAACCGACAGTAGTGATCATCTTATTATCACTTCTTACCAAACCGGAATGCTTAAAAACGTATATATGTGCAGTTAAACTGTGTACGTTGACCATAGGAGTTTAGTTCCCAATCCCTATCCTCATTACACATTCTCACTTACCTTGTATGCAATATGAGTCTGGTAGCGATCAGTGAAGCTCGTTTCAGTGTATTACTCTATTGTATTGTATTGTATTACTCTTTACAATGATGATGATGAATCATCTCGCAAATAGTGGAAGTCTATGATTAGCCGATCGCCAATGGGGAGATACGGTAATAGAACCTTGATAGTTTCTCGCAGTCCATGAGGAAACACTGGTCAACGGAAAAAGACAGTACTTGGTATCGAAGATCTCCTCACTCCATTGCGCACTTCTTGAGGATATTCGGGTGGTGCTCGTCCGGGTCTGTTGGTTTGTGACGGTTTTAGTTATTAAGTTTGCGTTATTCGTCATATTTTTTCCAAATCGCTCTGCTTTGTGACTCTTTCATTTGCCGTTATTTATTTCTCGGCCTTTTTTGCAGCGGTTCTCAAACTGTCTACTCGTTTGAATCTGAAGAAGTGTTTCGAGTTGTATGTGACCGGGACGGAATCAGATGGACTGAAACTGGCCCAAGCCGCTTTGACTTGTGCGCAACGGTGGCTGAGTGCGGAACATGAGAGCAACATGTGCTTGGATGTGGCTTCCAGCGGTGGTTCAGTTCTGGAATTCCCGATCAGTTTAATCGCCCTTTTAGATACTAATGCATCGTCTTCCAATCATTTGCCCCCATTAACCGAAGAGCAGCTTGTTCCCACTCTGAACGCTTTCATCGAAGCCGCATCCGGAGACGAGGCTCTTTTACGTCCAATGGGCTGTGCATTGTCTACTCGCATCTTGCATTCCACTCACTGGCGTACTCGGCTGTCTGCTATTCGTATGCTACAAAAGTCGTTCGATTATCTAACCTCGGGCGACCAGTCTAGTCCCGACACTGCCCAACACACTGGCGTGGCTGGTTGTTTGGTCTCTGATACTCTGTCCGCTTTGTCTGAGGCTTTAGAAGATGATCATCCGGAGGTGGAGGCTGCAGCTAATCGGTTGTTCGCAGAGCTCGAGCGAAGTGGGCTGACTGGAAATTCAAAACGGACAGCGATGTAGTTTTGTTTGCTCCGTCCATTTCATCCGTAATAGGACAATGTCCTAGCTGTACAGTTTCCATGCGTGCTGATCAGATACCACTATATATGGGTGCTGTGTATTTTCGTTCTTGCTGACCCCGAGCCAATGAAGTCGGTGTTTCCGTGTGGCGAAGGCGCATTCACTCATCTATCCACTCGGATGTCTCATCATATCACGAATTCACCGCCTCTTTGTTCATAGTGAATGCAAATATAAATTACTGATTCCGGCAGTCGATCTTTCATCTCAAAACATTTGGGAGATCGAGCAGAAGTACTGTGTGTGTTCATCATTAAAATGGCAAATTGGACAGGTCTGATGCTTTGTTTGACATGAGAGATGGTGTTGATTGTGAACACTATGTCCCATGATAATGTTCAGTATCTATACAAACAACTGATTACGGTAGGTGTTCAGTTCCGCCTCGATAACGCTAATAATGATAACGGCCGATGTTAGCAGTTGAAGATTGTCAAGCCCATCTTTGCTGAACTTTCTCTAGATAGCATTTTGGTGGTGGACAGTTCCGTTCTCTTCCGGCTCGGTGCTGCGCATCAGCTGGTAGGGCCACAAATATGCGGTTTGCCATCCCGAGTTTTGGGATGGTTTAGGTAGCCGAATTCCATCAGTGATCCGTAAGTCCTCATTGGTTAACCTCTGTTGTTGTTCATCACACAATGCGGTCGATGAGAGGAATTGTAGGGGATTAAATCAAAGGTCAAAGAAGCAGTTCACGTTCGGTTTCGCGTTCCATATATGTTCTGTTTTAACCATCCAGTGGTTGTGTGAGAGGAACAAAAGGAAAAATGAAAGATGGTTCACAACTTGGCTGTTCTGGCGAAAATGGGGTACTGGAACCTAACCGTGCGGTACCCAGGAAGAAATATTTGTTGAGAGGGATCAGTAATCTGGGACCCTGATCCGTTCTCGAATGTTTTGGGGACGGTAACCAGTAATCTATGAGGAACGGGGTAATTTAGGAGGCAACTGCTCCGCAATAGACCAGCATGTTCAGCGGGAATGTTGCGAAGGTTTTATCGATCAGGCAGACTTCCCTTCGTTGTATACAGTTCAGTTAGTGCTGGTTGAACAACTGAGCACAATCAGACAGAATCTTGGTTCCTTGCGCTAACAGCAAGGCTCGTCGTACGACGAAGTACCCTGAAGCGAACTTCGTAGGCTAATCATGTGTGAGTGTTGATCGATTTTGTGAGGCATGACTAATAATGCGGAAGCTTGTTTCAGTTTCGGTTGTCATATTTACGCATCGACGGCCACCGGCAAAGAGCATTTGTTATGGCCTTTATAATTCAACCATGCCACGGTGGATAATAATTTATCAACTTTTATGTCACTCACTGGATTTAACTGTTTCATCTTTCCCTCTGGAATCTTTAGAGAATTGACTTAAAACCTTGTGGTATCGTGCCAGAGTGGCATTATTCATCAGTTCAGATAAAATGCAGACCGTCAGGATCATCTTTCACAACATCAAGCAACTTTACTCAACCCCATAAAATGAATAAATCAGCTGTTTCCTCATCAGAAATATGATCACTTCGGAAAAATTAGCAACTTGAAGAAATGGATAAGAATGAAACAATGCTGTCGTGCTTTGGGGATAATTACACTGTATGCAGCATAGTTGTATCCTAACATCACAACGAGACTGCATCTTGACGTAGTGATGGCTTGTGCACCTCCCTTACTTAACGAGCTACGCAGGATGGCTTCTGTAAAGCCAGAAGATCTAATCATGCCTGGAAGGTCAATAGGTAGAGGTCAGACAAAGTCCAGTGGCCTGGTCCTCCAGGTTACTGTTTCGACTAGAATTTGCGTTTCAGTTTGTAAAAATGGTAGAGGAGTAATCGATTTCCGTAAATAAGCCTCCATTTCACTTCACCCTCTGCCTTGCTGTTAGGTTCTTGTCAGAACTAAAGGCTTCAGACTAGAACCCTAATCGTTCTCAAGCCTAGTGACTGGACACCCTAGCAGTACTCGTCCATCAAACCCCAATGCATACACAAACTAAAAATAATTCCCTTCTGTATCGGTCGTCGCACAGAATACTCAGGACCGCGCTGCCCATTGCATCGAGCGGGGTGGGTAGTGGTAAATGGGCCACTGCTCACATATCCCAAACTTTGTTTAATTATTTGTCTTCCGTACCTAGCCATCTCCATTTTTTCCTTCTTCCGACCTCAAACAACTTTGATATCGCCCGCCTGTCGTTTCCAAATAACACAGTAAGTAATGCACCACGAAATGCATTGCAGATTCCAAAGCCTGATCAGTCACTGTATACTTGGGCTTTCAACGTGAGGACTTTGGTGTAGGTAGGTCAACCAGCTTGTCTGGCGCGTAAAATGGATCCTACTAAGATAAGCCCCCATTTGAGCGCGCCAGATTTGTCCTCGAGGTACGTTTGTCGCACATCAGGCGACGACAAAGCCCGCGCAATAGGTCAGCGTGGGCTATGTATGGTACTCAGTAACAGGGCGGAGTCCTCTCTTATCAACTGGACCCCCGTCGTTTATGTGCAGTGCGCCTCCCGGGTTCAATCGGCGTCCGGAAGGGAAGCAACATTGAAGGTGTTTGTTCATCGTATCAACATATGCACTGACCAATTGCAGTCCTGACACTACGGTGAACTCATCGATCTCATTCGGATGAGAAAAATCTCCGTTCAAAATTGCGGGTCCTATTGGAACACCCTGCGTTGAGTCTGACCACGTATTAGTTTTGATACGATTCACTCTGTGATTGACTGGTGGACGACATAACCAGCAAACTCGAATAGCTCATCATCGACTGTCTATGCCTACAGTTCGTGCACGCTATGAATCAGAGCTAATGTGTGAGCTAAGCGCGCTTCAAAGTGGTGATGTAGATGAGTAGTGGGATCAGACTGGGCGAGCAATACATTCCGCAGCGAATGTTGCCTGTGGGTCTGAGCCTCAAGCCCATCGGAATCATTGGCTATCTCATGAGTCTGTAGTATTGATGGATCAAAACCGATCCCGACTTGCCAGGATCAAAACATGGTTAGGTGGCGTCGGCTGACGAAGAGCCTCAAGAAGGATCGTTAAAATTGGTAGGCGACAATGGCTAGTGAAATGGAAGTAGTTGCATCAAAGAATAGTCAAAGACTGTTCCGACTGATACGTAGTTCGTGGGTTGGCCAACTCCAGTTAGTGAAACAATCAGCGATAAGATGAGACAAGCTATTCACAATAGGGATGAACGACTTGATCGCTGGACAGAATACTTCAGCGATCAGTCCAGCTGATCTGCCGCGAGCCAGGTTACTGAAGCTCCTTGGGCAGTGTCGTGCGACTCTCCAGCAGAAGTATAGGTTCAGGCTCTGAAGCGAGGAAAGACAGCAAGACCATCACCCACTGTCTTCACGATGGGGGGGGGAGTAATAACCTCGCAAGATCAATTACTACCGTACTGCGCAATATTTGGACGAAAGAACGCATTCCTTCATCTTGGGGCGAATCACTGGTTGTTGCTATTTTCAAGAAAGGATATCGCAACGATTGCGAAAACCACCACGAAATAAATATGATCCCTATTGGCACTGAAGTACTAGCCTCCCTCATGCTTCTTCGTCTGATACCTTTAAGAGAGACCAACATCCGTGAACAACAAGCCGGATTCTGGCCTAGCCGTGCATGTATTGATCAAATTTTTACGTTGTACCAGGTCCTTGAACTGCGTCACACCCACCATCGNCGCGAAGCTCTAATTGGTTCCCCTCTTCGAAAAGGAATGCCTAGAAGTAGGTTAATTTACTGAGGTTACTGTAGTGACATACCTCTGATCAAGTGAGAGTTTACAACGAACTAATTAGGCCGTTCGTCACCAGTAGCGGCGTTCGTCAAGGGTGCCCTGTTTCACCGTTCTTGTTCATTTTCTTTGGAGATAGAATACTGCAGAACGCACTCAGTGGTCTGCAAAACGTAGATACTGAATGGGCAGCAGCGGTTTAATTTGCAGGACGCCAATAACGTCTCTCTGTTCGAATATATGCAGGAGACGCAAAGCACACTTTATAGACTAACAAGTGCAGTTGCCACATTCGGTGTGCTTTGACCTTCAAAGTGCAAAGTGATACTGCAAGACGGCGTTGTCTACTACCGCTCCGAAGCTAAATGGCCAGGAATTAGTTAAAGTGGATTACTTTTCCTACTTAGGTAGGAAAAGTAATCCAC